GTGTGTGTGTGTGTGTGTGTGTGTCCTAAAACATAGTCATCCTATCTGAGCAGTATCATTCTTCACACTTCCTACACAGTTTAGAGCAGTTACTGGGGATGGATGGATGGATGGACCGAAGGACAGACAGACGAGTGGGTGACAAGAGGGAAAAAAACAGCAAATGGAAGAGGGTGATTCACAGTATTCATGCATATTTCCACACATTAGCCTACCAAATGAATCAAGAAGAGACACACATATGTCTAATATGAAAACACACCTCATGATTGGCGCACACTGTTTTGAAACGTAATTCTGGGTCAATTTCCTGTTCCCTGCCCTTGGCAGGTAGCTGACGTCTCTTAGCGCAATCGTCAACAATTGTTTAAAGCTCAGCCAGCTCTCATAATGCAAAAATCAGGAAAACTGAGACTAAAAAGATAATAAAAAAAAAAAAGGTCACAGAACAGTGGTGCATTTTCAGAAAGGATAAGCGATGCATCCAGTCCTGTGTACTTTACTTGGCGAATAAAGATTCAGATTCTTATTCTTATTCTTAAAAAGGACGAGTGTTGCATTAATCTGCGATAAGAAAGTGACTGATACATAGTCTTTAAAACACTCCTTCTTTGCAGAGTTACGATTAAGACAAAACCACTGCCGGGTTTATAAAAAAAGAAGAAGAAGAAAAGATTGCATTCAGCAGAGAAAGGTAGGGAATACATCAATTAAACCTTGACCACCCAAAATAAGAAATTCTTAGGAATAAAATACTGAACAAAAATACGAAAGTCCACTGTTCAGCTAATAAGCAAATAAATCAATTTTCCCTGGGGAGTGTGGTGAATCAGTTCTCTAAGGAACAAAGATAATGAAAATTATGAAAATTCAGTACTCCACTTGGCTAAAATTGCCTGCTTTATTTGCATATTCATAACACGTTGTAAATGGTTAAGCATTAATAACAACAATAAGAATTTTCATTCAAAACCCTGGTGAGAATAACACATTTAAACACACAAAATTATCCCACAAAAAGACAAAGAGGGAATGAACTAACTCTTTATGAAAAGCTTACCAGAACAGACATCTGCCTACATACATGAACTGGACAAACAAACGGATGTGGAGGGAGACGAACTTAAAACAAAATCAATCATGGAAAAGTGAGCTCTGAATTTAGGCGTGACACTGATCAGTGGCAAAATCTTTTGGTTAAAACCAGAGGTTTGCAGCCTTTCCCACAACAGGAACCTCCAAATGAAACCAAACCATGGCTTAGGACCCCCTATCACTAGTGTGATCACGTAAACAACTAAGACGGGGGGGGGGGGTTATTGTTTGTATCATACCAATTTAACTTTGTATTTCAGGACAACTGCAAGACAGACATACCAACACCAATGGGTCCCCCGTCTGTGAGCACTGCTCAGACCATAATGTTCAGATTCCTCTAAAAGAATACAATGCCTTTATATAATATACTCATAGAACTTTCTAATTAAAATATAGTCACCTTGCACTCCAGTGTTTAAATCCCCAGATTCCAAAGCAGGGTTCAGTGCATGAGACCATAAGCTTGTAAAGTGATTTAGGGGCAAGTTTACGGAGGTTGGGTCCCCAAATGGGTCCCCTGTGCACCTCAAAGTAACACTGTGTTACCACTAGAAAGGCTTTGGCTCCTTGTGGCTCCTGGGTTATTTTTATAGATATTACTTAAATGTCTGATCTATTTTTAATGCCGTCTCTCAGATAACATTGTTCCGTAATGATACTGCAGGGCTGCTGTTTGTATTACCAGCATCTTGGGCCTGTAATGGATGTGAGAAGATAGTAGGGGAATTAAAAAACTATATAATAATAATAATAACAACAATGAGTCTAATACATCCAGCATGCAACCTAGAGGAGGTGATGGACAAACCATCTTGCATGTAACTCAGTGCATGCAGGTAGGTCATTGAGTTTTCACGCCATGTAAGCAGCTATGGCTATATTCGTGGAAAAGTCTACGTTACGTGTAAAATTTTATAATCATCAACAAACAAACAAACAAACAAACAAAAACCTGAGAAGGGAAAACCTTCAAACACACAGACCCTAATAACGAGATTATCCAAAAATTTATACAATACTAAAGAAAGTGCTTCACTTTGGCTTAAGTTAAAAACTCCTGTCTCTGGTTTAACCTTAATAAAAACATCCTACAAAGCTTGGACTGGGAGATAGATTTGTCTAATAGCATTTAAAAGTGATGATACATAAAAATGTGACTGACAGAGGGCATTGATATGTGCGTACAAAGTGGATTCCTCACCAGTAAGTATAAACATGTGCCGAGCCTGCTATGTCCTTTGTGACACCTGGCGTAAATGATTTGGCCGCAGTGGTTCTTAAAACTGACTGGTGCTCCATTTGTAACAACAGGGTTATTTCATAGAGTTCGTTATTTATGCATTTGTATCATGCACTTTGCCATAGTTTGAGGTCTGATGCTGGTATTAAAAACTTATGTGTCTGAACTGAGTGCCTCCTTAGCGGCTATATCTACTTGTTCATTACCAGGCACACCAAATCACCTGGGATCCGGCACAAACAAATGCTAAAATTCTGTTTTTCAAGGATAGCCAGCTTGAAAAGGGCGATCACGCTAAAGCCACCAGCGAAGGCATGGAGTGGGCGTTTGGGTCTCTTGTAAAAACAGTTTTATGTAACTGACGCAGTGCTTGAAGAGGGCCGGTACTCCCCAGCACGCAGTATGGACATGGAGTATGTTTTTTCCAGAGTACTGGAAACGGGGAGTACTGGCAGCTGTTTTTTCCCCCCACTTCAAGTGCTAAACTCATGACTAAAAAGGAGAACGTAAACGGTGAAGAAGCTACAATAGCAAAGGCATTAGTGAGCGTGCGGACATGTCAGAGGTAGATCCTGCAGTCTGCCCGGCGACCTGCCTCTGTTTGCTCAAGCAGAAGGGCAGGTCTCGGAGATCCTGTCCCGCAGGACTCTCTACATACTTTAACTGCCAGTCTGTAAACCTCCCGGGCCCGATGGCGCTCTGCGGGCCGGCGAATCGGCGCTTTAAACTCCAGTAATGTGGAGATGTTCTGGTATTTGCGACAAATGTTTTCTGAAAGCGTCCAGCAGCTGATACGATTGGGGGCACGGCGAGCAGGCTGTCACACACGGCGCTGCCGAGACAGCCGGGCTACCGCGCCACTGACAGCCGGCTGCAAGCCGATTCCCGGGCGCCGGTGACCGAAACAAAGCTCTCCTACAAGGGGACATGGCATGTACCCGAACAACCAGCAACATCTGTCATTAACTATTCATACCTTCGCTTTACCGGCCTCCAATTTCTTCTGTCTCTCCTCGTCTTCCATAACCGTCGTTCCTGGGCCGAATATATGAAGAGAAGGGCTTCATACGCAGACTCGACGAAAAAAAACAAATTGCTATAATAAATCTACTATACACAAACAGGTAGAAGTTTTATTTGGCGCCTCCATTCATCACACCGTTCAAAAACGTGTGGAGCACTCCTTACAACAGCCGCGACGCAGCCGCCATGTTATCCACGTAAACACGGGACTAGTTGTGATGACGTCATACTACCCCGGGACCACGCCCACGCACACCTCGGGTAATGTAGTCCCGGAGACCTTGCAGGTTAAGGCACGCTGGCGTAACGCTGCTCCCATGCATGTTGCAAGACGGTTAATTACAACCGTTCATTTTCATTTCGATTAAAATGTATTTGTGGCTAGTTTTAAAATGGAAACGATTATGATATCCAGCATCATTATCAAAGAGCTGTTTTTAAATCAAATATTTTACAGTGTAAATTATAAATCAAGATATGAATGCATTGATTAGACATACTCTAAAGTGGGGTGCGTGTTAATTATTGAAGTAGATTAACAAATGCAGTGTTTCGTTGCCCTTGACAGACAATCATAACATTTACCTTTGTGATGGCCTTAAGTAGCCAGGTAACATTTTTCTCTTTCACCAGTTTTGAGCTCTTGGAAGAAGGATGTGGACGGTATACATACCGGCAGGAGATGGTGGCCGGTGTCTTCTCATCACTGGTGCTGTACAGCTTATTGTCTGGCAGATCTTCAGTTCCACCCATCGTCTTTTTGACATCTTTACGAGTTTCCATCCAAAGATGGACAGTCCCTTCTTACACACGGCCCTGCTCTGGACTGCAGAACTACCGGTAAACCTCCTGAAAGTTTGGGTCCTAAATAATTGATGGCCAAGGAGTATTATGTCAGCTAGAGCAGCACAGGGGCTCCTTCGAGGTACATCTGTGCCTTTTGTTGTCATTTAAATTAGGTTCCACTGCTAATTTCTTCGATAACTATATTCATAGTGGAATTTATAACAAAGTTCTGCCATGGGCCTTATTCTTTTAATACAGACCTGGGCTATTTAAAATGCTTTATATTCTATAGAACATTAACAAAGTGACTTTAAAAGTGAAGGAACAATCCCCAGTCAAACAGAAGCCTCTGAAATTAATGAACTTCTCTATTACAGCTATAGGTCTTACAAATCGAAGAACTCATACAATACTACACTAAATCAAAGAAGTTCCTTTGCACAAGAATGGAAATGATCTGTTGATTTTATGTGAACTGCTAGGGATAGATATATTATTTATATATTAAATAATATGAAATTAGGTGTCTTGTGAAGGACTGACGCTCCATAGAGGGTTAATGCCAGTCCAATTCACCCCCCCGCAACCCTAACCAGGATTAAAAGATGTTAGAAGATGGATGGATAGATGGATTTTATATGAAAGTAGATAAACCAATACACATTCCAGATAAATATTGACATAATCCTGTCCATTATTCTTCCCTGAAATACATCTTCTGCATGGTTGGTTTTTAAGCATTTGTTCTGTTAATGGAATTTGAAAATAATATTGAATGCATGTGTTATGTTTGTGTACTTTTATTTTATTTTTAATTCACTGTATTGAATTGTATTCAGTAATTAATATTTTTTAATGTTTCAAATAATAACAGAAATTGATGAAACTGCACACACAATTCATCTGAACAATGATATGCCTTTCAAAAAAGAATAAGCAAACAGTGGATATTTATTTTTGGTCAGACCTTAAGCCTGTGCAGCTTGGATGGATGGCTGACAGCAGAGCGATGAAGGCAGCTGGACACTTGGAGCCCAAGGGATGAAAAAGCACATCAATAAACAATGGTGCTGTTGTGTTGAGAACACTAAGTGGGCGACACTGAAGGCTTTAATTTAATTACAGCAGCCTCGTTGCCAAGAGCCACACTTGGGTGTTACTATGATACAGATCTATAAATCTGAAATCGTATGGTGGTCTTAATGGTATTATGGTACAAGTCAATTATATTAGTCATATGATGTATTATCTTTGTAATACAGAGGGCAAATATTGTTTCAATACATAGCAATGAAATCAGAGTCTGAAAACCCCGACATTTTATCGTAACTTTATAACTTAAACTGCACCATTTCAGTACCACTAACTACGTATACATGAGGGAATACAATGATCTATAGGCTGTCTATGGGACAGGGGGGAAACAAGGTTCTTCCTAAATCGAATGCAGTGACCAGCTGACTCCATGCATATAAATTCACATCGTATCATGAGTTCAAACAAGGTATACAGAAAATCAATGGATGGAGTTATCTTGACTTGTCTGTAATTTTTTTGTGAAAGGTATTATGGAGTAGCTGCATTGGTCATAGACACTGCATCGTGCTTGAAGGGTTCCCTTTAGGTGGCATTAAATATAGAGTATATCACAAAATAGCAACAACCAACAAAAATATTAAGTAATATACACCATGACAAACAATACTGAAATAGACTTCCTGGAGCAGAATAGGGGAACTTCTAATTTCTGGCTTCTAAATAACACACCGAGCTAAATAGCACAGTATACGTATATGGAGTGCATATATAGGCACACGGCTCCATCTAGCGATATAATGTGAAGTACTATATTTTAAAAAACTTGTCACGTTATACGCCTTTTCACAGACGATGTAACTTCTTTTAGTTGAATCCCAAGAGATCAGTGGCACTTTATAAACGCTGGATATAACAGATTCGAATAGATAAATTCAAATCAATATAAAAAAGGCAGCTCTTTTCACTTAGACTGCTGAACAGGTCAATAACTGGCGTTTCATCTTCAGACAGAAGAAACACCTCCAGACGGCAGGGGGCGACATGCAGAAACGCGGACAGGCAAATTGCGTCGATGGTAACTGAAATGAAACAGAACATAATGGTAAGTGGGAAATTCTAAAGAAACGCCGATTTATATTAAATAACATTACAGAAATGTCACGTGGAATACTGCAGACGGTTCGATGTAATCGTGCTTCATCAAAGTCACTTGCTTGTTTTTATTGATTGTTATTTTTTGCACAAAGAACTAAGCGTAGGTACGGAATTCTGAACGGGAATCAGTGCATGCGAACTCGGCTAGTAATGTTTACTCTTTAAAGCCTAATTCGAGCAAAGCGTTAAGGTGCCTAAAGTCAAGATAGATTCGTTCCTCCTTCTGATGCGGGCATACTTACCATTTATTTTCCTTTGACAAATCAAATGCAATCTAATTTCTTCGTAAATATCCAAGGGGCACCGGAGTAAACGCTATCAGAATTTCCAGAGGGGCGTTCCACAAAGCAATATTTCTCAGTTAGCTGGCTTAACTTAAGCTAGAAGTCATGATTGTCCGGTCCGAATGGTCTTTACCTAAACTCTTATTGGACAATCATGACTTAAATCTTAAGTTACCCCAGAAAACTCAGCAGTCTTGCTTTGTGGAACATCTCACAGGATGGCATGGTGACTCAGCGGGTTCAAACCCCAAGATTAGCTGTGCGTATGGAATCTACACGTTCTCCACATGTTCCTCCTGCAGTTCACAGACAATCAGCTGTGCTATCCGGCATTTCTAAATCTAGTTGCGTAAGTGTCAGGGTGCATCACCATGGTTCACTGGGTAGTTCGATTGCCCTGAACCTGCCAGGTTGAGCTTTAAATCCTGCCCCCGTTCTGTTTTTTTCATGTTTGTATGTTATGTCTGTGATTTATAGGTTTACTCCGGGTACTCAAGTTTTCTCCCAAATTCCAAAGACATGTAGTTAGACTATTGGGCATCTCTAAATTTCCCATAGTGTGTCCCACAAAGGAGTAGCATTTCTCCCTGGCCTTGTGTACTATGCCACCCAGGTTACGTTTCAGTCCCCCTCCATTCCATCCGTCCATATTCCATATCTCTGCTTATAATATGGTTAAGATCCACCCTTTCACCAGTGGTGCTTACATTTTTAATCAGTCTCATGCAAGAACAATGTATCACTATGCAATTAATTTTTTTTTTCCCCCTACAGATTTAGGGACCATTTTCATTTAAAGATCATGACTTGTATCTTGACTCTTCTGCATATTACCAGAAGGCCGATATTTTGCAAGCGGACCTGTGTGACATCCCATCTCACTGCACTGCACAGCACGCCCGCTAAGAGTGAGGCGCAGGGACCAGGACATGAGAATGAGTCCTTGTTGGAGAACCTGACAATCCTAGGGGTAGATGTGAGGATGGTTCGTCGGCGGCAGCCCGGTGTCCTGAAGAGGTCTGTCACCAATGAGCATGGGCTGACGCACTTCTTGCAGAGTAAGGGCGCGAGTCGCGAGATGGTGGCCAGCATCATCTCCCGCTTCCCACGGGCCATCACACGTTCTGGGGATCACCTGGAGCAGCGCTGGGAGCTTTGGAGGAGGGTCTTCAAGAGTGATGGCGAGATCGTGAACATCCTGGCCCGCTCTCCCGAATCCTTCTTCCGCTCCAGTGACAACGGCAACCTGAAGAAGAACATCGTCTTCCTTGGCTCTCTGGGACTCAGCTCCAAAGACCTGTACCGCTTGCTGACCACAGCTCCACGTACCTTCTCCAACAGCCTGGAGCTCAACCAGCAGATGGTGGAGCTGCTGAGGGACGTGTGCCTGAGCTTGGGGGGGAAGGATCCGGACCAGTTTGTCAGGGCTATCATCTCTAGGAACTCGTACGTCCTCATCCGAAGCACCAAGCGCATCAAAGGCAACGTCAACTTCCTGCAGGAGACTCTCGGCCTGAGCAGCTCGAAGCTGCTGGAGCTGCTGCAAGGCCAAGGTGCGGAGGTCCTCGACCTCTCCAACGAGTATCTCCTGAACAACTTCAGGGACATACAGCAGAAGCTGCTCTCCCAGGGCTGCAGCCAAGACGAAGTCAAAACTCTGATCATCAAATACCCTCCGGTGCTGTACATTTCTTGGGTGAACCTGAGGAATAAAATAGACTGTCTGCAGGATGGAGGTGTAAATATCAAACAGATAGTACAAAAGCCCAAGGTGTTGGAATTTAGTATTGACAATCTCAAGAGACGCTTAAAAGAACTACAGGAGATAGCCTATGATTTTGAGAAGAATGGCATTGGTATTTTAGACTCCAGTCAACGCCGATTTGATGCTAAGTTATTACGCCTTTCTGGGCAATAGGTAATATAAAATTGGTTTTTATAGTGTATCTCTAAGTTTTTTAAATAAATATATTGCACTCTCCAACTATTGAAGGAATGAGGTCTTTAACTTTTTTGTGTACAGTACAGAGCTAATAAGGACTGATATGTAGTTTAAAACGCGATTTTTATTTTAAATACTTTTCTTCTCTTTAAAATAAAGGATAACGATATGGATTGACTTTCCAAAAATATGTATAAGCTTTTTAGTTGTTTTCAAAATGCATTTGTCATGAGTAACCAGAAGGTGGCAGCAGAGATCACACGACCGACTTACCCAGCTCGTCATGCCGATTCTGTCTTGCTCACATAAGGTGGTCCTTGCTAGAGTAATGCACTTGAGAACCCTGGGATCAGTCTTGGGTCACTAGGGTAGTGTTTACAGTGTTTGAAAGGGAGCAGTTTCCCAAGCGATAAGTGGTCACGTATTCTTACAGACTGAGTTAGTGAGGGAAAATCTCACCCCAAAGTTTTATAGGCTGCTGCCTTAACTCTCTTTCTCAGACATCTGGAACAGCTCATCCAGATCAGAAAATCTAGCAGAACAGCTGAAATATCTCCTGCTTTGTTTTATATGGTGTAGATTTTACAAGTCATTTAGTATCCGGACTATATTTGGAAACTGTTAAACTCTCCTTTCAGGCCGTAGATTTTTCAGGTCTGGGATTTAATCTTTACAGTGCCCACTTGAGAATCTGCCACGTTTTTTGGCCTGTAATGCATTAAAAACAATAATGTAGCTTCTTTCACTGCAGCTTATACAAACCGGATGATCTTGAAACTCAACTGACACTGAAAGTGGGTACTGTCTATTAAACAGAAAAGTGATTTTTCACATTTTACAGGATTTACTGGAAATTAAATCCATGAAAGAATACTGTTCTGTTCCATTTTTTCCCTGGCAGTGCCTCTATTTGAAGGAATGAGACTAAATGCTTTGCCTGCCAGTTTGGGATACATCAAAGTGTGCATGCAGCTCAGAGACCAGTGTTATTCAGTGTCTTGCAGTGCATGGGAACATAAACACTTTGTGTGTATTAGTCTTTTTGTCCTTACCTGAAATTTTAAAGAGGATAATTTAATAGGAAAAAATATTGCATTCAGACACTAATCCAATATTTGATAAAACAATAGGCATTACACACATAGGGATTTAGGTTAAATCCCTTCCAGCTTCGGGTCGCGGCTCGGCGTGAGTCATGCCCCTTCTTCTTGGCTGATTAGCGAATAGCAGGACTTTGATAGGACCGCTGAAGGATGTCTACTTCCTGTCCCTACTGTCCACTTCCTCCTGATGTCACTCAGGTGTTGCCTCAGGCCTCTGGTTTGGATCCTCTGATTTTACTACTGCATTTATGCCCGACTTCCAGCGTCACCATGTTTTCATGTGAATTATAAACCTGTGATGCCCCGACCAGGAAAAGCAGTTAGCAGATGGCTGCATGGAACTGCCACCTAACCCTCTGATAAATACCTTTTCCTGCTGCATGGTGATTGTCAGAAAGTATTCTTCCATGCATCTTCCATCCATCAATACAGGCTTTATATCGTCAGGTCAATATCACTACTTCAAAGGTTGACTAGAAAAATGTCCTGCCTGCCTGGCCATCTTATCATTCCTTTTCATTTTATTTATTATTAATTGTGTGTGTGTGTGTGTGGGGGGGGGTGAATAATTGGTCCTCAGTTTTTTTTCTGCAAACCAACAAATCCTCTGTTCAAAGGCTGAGATCAATGCAAAAGAAGAGTTGTTGCTAATTGGACGGTAGGGGAGGTGAGGATGAGATGCTGATGTACTGCTATCTAGATGATGACATACGCTATTGTGAATGCAGAACCCTGCCACTGGACCCAATGATGGCGTACAGCACAGGGCAGACATGTGCCATGTTACATTTAAAGCGCTATGCCCATCTGAGAGCCCGCAGGAAACACCAATGCCAGTAACAATGGGTGCCAGGAAAATCGGTAATCTACCTGGTTTTTTTTCAGGGGAAGAGGAGCATTGGGTAATTGTGGGGTGGCAGGAGGCATAACCAGGGGCATCTGAAGGGCATTGGTAACCCAACACTTTCCAGGGGCCCTTGAATACAAAAAAAGAATAATGTATACACCAGTTTGGGGGGGGGGGGGGACAGAATTACTAGCCACACCCCTGGGCATAGCCATTAAAAATGCTAATGCTAACTTGCCATCCAAAGTGTTTCCTTGCTAAGCCGTCCGTCTGTGTAGAGGGATATGAAGGGAACTGAATAAAAACTGTCTTTGTTCTGTTCTGTACCATCTATCACCAAAATAATCAAGATGCCAGGAGTATCTGCTTCTCAGTGTTCTTAGGTGTCAAACTTTAGTTACAGATGTCCATTTGCAGGGGTTGCTGTGGGTTTGAAAGTTAAAAATATTGGCTGTTTTTTCTTTACCAGGTATTCATGGATTGGTTGGTCTTGAGATTGTCGTCGGTATTATGAACAGATGATATTATAATGAATTTAAGCCTGCGGTGTGACTTAATGTGATAGTTGCCTTGTTGTAGTTCTCCTGATAGCTCTACATTATTAACGTGAAGAACTTTACAACGGGGGTAAGACACTGGGGTTATCATCAAGTTCGGGTGATGATATGTGGAATTTGTACGTAATCCTGGGAACATTCCCCCCTACCCACTTCAAAAGGTACGTTTTGTCCAAGTTCTTAGTTAAAATGAAATTTTTTGGTGTGATTAATTGCCCAGTAATGTCCAAGTAATTTCCTGGGTAACCTCATCCAAGACCTCAGTCAGATGGATTAATACATGACATTGCTGAATGTGGAAAATGATATTAAAAAAGAGGGATTAGGCCACTGATAATTTACGCTGATTTCATTAAACTTTCATCGTGGAGCCCTTTAAACCCTAAATGGCTTATTAACATAGCTCACATTTCTGCTCTCCTATCAACACTCCATATAGGGTCCTTATTAGATCTGTACCTGGACTTATTCACAAAAATGTTACTATTCTGTTACATACATATAGGCTCTAAGCACTATATGCCAACCACTGTCATTTTCTGTAATTATGGGATGTACTTATTCTGTGGCTCAGGTTGCTTGTACCCAGGGTTGAAACCTGGATTTTCTTTGCAATATAGTGATCCACCTGGACACAAGACTCAAGAAGCCTAAATTCATGCAAGTGGAACAAGATTTTTTAGACATAGGCAGTCAATTATATATGGACAGATCCTAACCTGCACATATATTTAGTCAGTGTTTCCCACTGAGGCTAAGCTCAAAAGCTAATTTGTTGTATTCATTCTCTTTAAAAGGCCTGGCTTCCACTGTGTAATGGATTTCAGAGGTTAAGGGAGCTGGTCAGGAATAAGCACCTTGTGAAAGCACAGAATAGCCTCTCCGATGGGCCAGTGACTTTCCACAATAAGAGGGATAAAATTTAAAAATGTGGATTTTCACAAGTGATTTAAAGCGAAGGTATGCTAAGCAGCAGTAAGGGGGGAGGGGACGGGGGTCAGGTTTTGACAGACAGAGATGCTTCTGCTTTTATGGTCTTCTCCGAATGTGCCTTCCAAGGACATGTGGCTCAGTCAGTTATCAGTTCTTCATCCATTAGAGAAGTTAGGATCTTAATCATAAGTCAGACAGCTTCACTAGAATGTGGTCCCCAGTATGTTTATATTTGCAGAGACCAAGTGTTTAAATGTGTTTTATGTTTTTCAAGGTGACACATGGAAGGGGTGGGGTTTTTCTCTTCTGTTTTTTGTACTTGATTGTGCTTGCAAAACAAAATAATAAAAACGGTACTGTTCACTTTCAGAGGCTGCCAGAGAAAACGCACCCAACCCACCCAGAGCTACTGAGGGCCGTTAGACACTAACGCGCTGAACACACCGGATCTGGTGAATGAGTGGTTTGGAATTTTGTGGTATAACGCAATACACCAAAAAAAATATAAAATCTAAATCCGATGTAATAGTTGGAGGTTCGGCATGGTGGTGCAGTGGTTAGTATTGTTGCCCCTCCCCCCCCCCCCAAGAGCTGGGGTTGAATCTCCATTGTGGCTTCATGTGTGTGGAGTTTGCATGTCCTCCTCATGTTGTTGTGGAGTTTCCTCTGGGTTACCCCCCCACAGTCAAAATATACTGTATGCTGAGGTGAGTTGGAGTTACCAAATTGCCCATAGGTGCGAGTGACCCCCGCAATGGGATGGTGCCCCATCCTGGGTTTTTCCCTGCCTTGTGCCTGTATCCTCTGGATTAGGCTCTGGACCCCCTGCCATCCTGAACAGGACAAGCAGTTACAGAAAACAGATGGGTAGTTTGAGGGAGGGACTGCAATGCATTGTGGTCTGTGATGATGAAATGTCCTCTGTTCTTGGGCGTCCACAGATGCCGTGACAGATTTGAGTCTGCCCAAACGGAGGAAGACTTGTGTGTTGGTGTGCTGCAGTCCCTGGGGGGGGTACGCTGCAGGAGGGGTGTCCATTTTGTTGACGCCTATGGGCAGCATGACAGCCTACATGCGACACATCCTGTCAGCTTTGCTATCGGACGAGTTATTTCATTACGCATTGATCACATGACACAATGTAGCTCACAGCAATTTATTTGAGAGAAAAATGCTCTCAGTTCCAGGAAAAGATGAGAAGTTAATTGCCTTGTCCCCCCCCTCAGATCCCAGGATAACTTCCAGGGATTGGGATGCAGCCCACATCGGTGACAGGGGTCTCTGGTCTTTGTTTAGGCATGTCACTGATGTTCCTGATGTTAGTTGACCCTGTCCTGTGACCCCAATGTACCTGTATTTGTGCGAATGGCTAAATAGATAAACCATGTTTGTTATATTGATGTCAAATAACAATGTAACACACCATAAAATTCAATTACCTTGAACCAAATATTTGTCATCACGGGTCATTAGGTTGCAATCTCCTGTGTAAAATGATCTCCCTGGATTAAAGGAAGGACAAGGAAGTCAGGTGACAGCAGCGGTGTCTCTGTGTCGCACTTCCCTCTCCGTACAAACGGTCCTTTCATGCAGGCCTGGTGACATTTACCGCTGAAGAGCCGAGCTTCGCCGGCGACGTCTTCTTAACAATGCTGTCGGAGGAGAAACTCTCCTGCCACCAGAAATGAAATTTTCCAGTTTAGGCTCTGGGCTCCCGTCGAAAATAATCCTACGCCATTTGCACGCCC